CCTTCCTCCCCAACACGGAAAAATTGTCCTCCATGAAACCTGTCCCAAGTGCCAAAAAGGTTGGGGACTTGCTGTGGGGCCACCCTGATCTTTTCTCCAGCTTCTGTGAGGTTGACCTGCAGGCCCTGAAGACTCCTGCCTGAGGCCTCTGCCTGAACCCTGTCCTCAGGGGGCCAGAAGCAAGCCCCAGCTCTCCCCAGACCTCCTATTGCTTGCTGAGGAAGCCGCAGGTGCACACTGGATCCGCCAGGCACAGAAGCATTGTGGCCCTCAGCAAAGCCCCCACCTTCCGCCAGGGCAGACGGCCTCGGGTGACCACGGGTGGTTTCCCTTCACTGGATTTTAAAATAAACCAGACTCCTCAGCAACTCCTGCTTCCAGAATCAAAAATAAGTGTCTCTGGGGCCCAAGGTGGGGGGTGAGGGGGACATACCAGCAGCTTCCACCGGAGGTGGGGTGGGGCAGGGCAGGGCACTCGCAGGGAAAACACTCGGGCAAACACATACCGCCCAGGGAAGACCCCCTGAAGCCGGTGGAGACCTGCCTTTGCTCAGGGCCTTTCCTGAGAGCTCAGTAGTGGGAAGGGTCCCACCTGGCTCAAGACATGGCCTGTCGGGGCCTCTGCAGCTGTTGGGTCAGCTGTGGGTGCAGAAGCTGATAGTCCCCCAGCTCAGGCTCTGCTGCTATCTTTAGTGCTGTGCTCAGACTCCAGTGGCCTGGGAACCCTCTGCAGGGAGCTCTGCAGCCCTTCTCACATTCCCGGTGGCCTCGGGGGGCCTCCCAACCATGCTTCCCCTTTCGGTGTGGTTCTTCCCACTCCTGCAGCCCAGCAATACCCCTTCAGGGTCATACCCAGACCCCACTGGACTAGCAGCAGGGGATGCCCTGGCCCTTGTTCCCAGCCCCAGGTTCCCACATCTGGTCACCTGGCCCCTTGCAGTCGGCCCCAGGTCCCTCCTGGGCAGGTCATGCCTCCCAGGGACCTCGAGCTCGAGCGTCAGTGCTGCATAGAGACCGTTGGACCTGGGGATGGAACCAGGCAGCATCTCAGGGGATGCCAACTGTAACCATGTGTCCCTCAGAGGGTAGGACCTCTGCTCAAGAGACACACAAGTGGCACCTGTCTTTTTAGCTTTGCAGACACAATGGTGCCCCCAGAGGATTCCACCCGACTGCTGTGGCTGCATACACTCACTCCCACCCCCGCCCCTGCAGCACCGAGGGGCAGCTGCCTCCCACCCAGACGCAGGCCTGGGGGGCTCCAAGAGCTAGTTCTCCACTCAGTCTGCAGGCCTCCTCTTTGATCCTGCTTGGCCTGCAGACCCTCCTCCCACCCCTTGAACCAGGGCATCTGGATTGACTCTGTGGTGGCCTCCGATATCTGGCACCACCAACAGACCCCAGGCCAGGTCCCTTCCCCAGGCTCTGCCCTTGAGGCCATGGTATAGGGGGTAAGACCAGGCTCAGGGCCCTGGAGTCCCCTCCCAGGCCATCTGAGCAGCTTGGCCACCTCCGTGGCTCCTCCATCCCAGAAATGTCATCACCCATGGGCCAGGCAAGGAGCTCCCAGCCATGAGGTCAGACCGGGTGGTCCCAGGGCCAAGGCTATGGACTGACTTTTCTGTCACTGAGGCAGGGAAGGGCATAAACACCCCTGACACACAGAGTGTGCTTGGCAGAAGCCTGGTGACCAGCTGCAGTCACCCACAGCAGCTTGGTGCAAATCCAGAAAAGATGCCCCTTCCTCTGGCTCCTGCAGTTCCAGGGTGCCCAGGCCCCCAGGCAAGAGCTTGTGCAGGTGGCCCTGGTGACACACAGCATCCTTGGGAGAACTAAGCCTCCCCGCGGGTGGGGGACACGTGGGGTAGGAGGTGGTCCTGGCCAGAGGTGCCTGGGGAGGCTGGGGGCCTTGCAGGGTGGGGCATGGCAAGGGTGTGAGTCACTGCTGGGCTGCCAAAGCTCACTCTGCAGTTGTCCAGTTCCCTGGGGTAGCCCCAAACCTGTCCTTGTAGGGAGTGGCAGCCGGAGTCTGAGCTGTCCTGGGGGACCAAGTGGGAGCTTAAGATGGGCAAGACCTGGGGCCCTGGGTAGACGCATCAAAGCAGGCAGAACCCTGGGCAGACGCATCGAAGCAGGCAGAAGCAGGCATGGTGAGCAGGCCACTGTGCATGCCTGGGGTAGGCATGTGGGTATGAGCTGTGCCGTACGTGTGTACATGTGCACAGAAAAGAGCATGGGCATGTCTGTGCATGCCTGTGAGTGCAGGTGTGGGCATGTGCTGTGTGTGCATGTGTGTGTGCATGAACGTGTGTATGTGCGTGTGTGTGACCATGCAGGTGTGGGCGTGTGCTGTGTGGTGGGAGGTACATGCCCCACGCTGCTGCCCTGGTGAGAGTCTGGAGCAGGATGAGGGGGTTCCTGGCCTTCATGAAATCCCAGTACCCAGAACAAGCCCACCCAGAGTCCACTTGCCCGTCAAGCCTTCAGAGGCCAAGCTGGCTCCTGCTGGACCGCGATCCCTGACCGCTGTGCTCTGTGGGTCTTCCGGAAGCCACTGTCTCTCCCCCACTCCCTGTGCTGCAGCCAGACACCAGCAGCCGCCCTGCCCCCAACCCCAGCTACCCAGGCTTGAGGCTGGCACGCTCCTCAGCTGCCTGGCCCCCTCCAGCCCCACCCAAGGGCTGAGGTCCACCCTTCATCTGAGTTAAGTCTCTCAAAACTCTGGGTGCTCTGGAGGGTTTCCTCAGCCGGCCCAGGACCCTCAGCCATGGTGCTCCCATTGCAGGCCAGCAGGAAGACCAAGAAGAAGGAAGGGGGTGCCCTCCGGGCCCAGAGAGCCTCATCCAATGTCTTCTCCAACTTTGAGCAGACTCAGATCCAGGAGTTCAAGGAGGTAAGACTTTCCTGCTTCACTGGGAGCCCCCGTCCCCAGAAGCCTGTGCTGGGAAGACCCCATGTGGGCTGGCTCCAGGGCCAGAGGATAGGAGTAGGAGCCTATCCTCAGTCAGGGGTGCTGAGGAGCTGGGAGCAGGGGGCAGGGGCAGAGCCCAGCCGGGTCGGCAGCACGGCAGCCCTGGCCTCGCTTCCCAGGCATTTACACTCATGGATCAGAACCGAGACGGCTTCATCGACAAGGAGGACCTGAAGGACACCTACGCCTCCCTGGGTAGGTACCCAGGCAGAACACCTCAGAGACCTTGGAGGAGGCGAATACAGAGCATCCTCCAGTCCCATACGCTGCGGCCCCTCCTCCTCCAGGGCCTGGGCTTTAAAGACCCATCGGACGGCCCTGAAGGCTGCGAGGGGATGGCCCTGGCCTCCCTTGGTTCCATCAGAGCTAGCAGAGAGCGTCCCAGGGTGAGACAGGGTGGGTGGTACAGCCCAAGCCTGGAAACTCAGAGTGGGCTTTGGGGCAGCAGGCTCCAGGGCAGGGCTGACGCTCCGGTAGGACACTCCGATAGGCAGGCGGCTTGCCCTAAGCCGGACCACAGAGCTGACAGAGGGCATGGAGACCCTGCCCAGCCGGAACACAGAGCTGGGGGAGGGCCTGGAGACCCTGCCCCACCTCTGCAGCACAGCCCAAGTGTGGTGGGGCACACTGCCCTCCCCAGCCTCAGTTCTCCCTGTGGCATATTCTGTTCCCAGCAGCTGCCTCTGACCTGAGGCAGGAGGGCAGGGGGCTTCGGTCCCACTCTGGGAGCTATGGAGTGACTTCTCCTTGGGGTGGGAGGGTCACCAGTGACCCGTCTTCCTCTCAGCCCTGCTTATGCCCAAGTAAGAAGAGCAGATCCCAGCACCTTCCCAAGCTCTGTGTCACCTCCCTCTCCATCAGCCCTTAGTCCTGGGGCTCAGGGTTTGGGGTGAGGTGGACACATCCAGCCAGACGCACCCACTGCCCCACATGCCTGGGCCAAGTGCCTCCTTCCCGCTCCCTCCCCACCCCTCCCATCTGCCTGCCTGGCCTTGTGCTGGGGTCACCTGCTGGTGGGGCCTGGCCCTGTGCTGGGGTCACCTGCTGGTGGGACAGCAGACATAGCAACAAGCCCTGCCCTGTGACGCCCCCGCATCTGTGACAGGCAAGACCAATGTCAAGGACGATGAGCTGGACGCCATGCTCAAAGAGGCCTCGGGGCCCATCAACTTCACCATGTTTCTGAACATGTTTGGGGAGAAGCTGAGTGGTGAGCACTGGTGGGACAGTCCTTGCCCTCCTAGTTAATTCCTGACAGTTAGAGATCCAGACATTTCACGTAAAAATCCCTCTTTTCCTATCTCTGGAGAAGCCCTAGGGCCTGGCACTCTGGGAGCCAACAACTGTGGGGCCCCATCAGCCATCCCAGAGCCATGTGCTCAGGCTCGCCCTCCTGCCCCACATGCTGTGTGACCCGCCGTCGGGACCTCTGTCCCTCACTCATGCGGCACTCACCCCCAGCTCCAGGCCTGGGCTGACCCTGGGCACTCCAAAACTCACTACATCCCAGGGCAGGAGTGCCCGACAAGGCGTCCTTGGGGCTCAGGAAAGGAGAAGGCCTTCAGGCAGTGGCCACCTTGTGGGCAGAGGCTTGGAGTCACCCCTTGCTTGGGGCAGGGGTCTCCCCTCCTGCCACCTGCCCTTGGCAGCTGAAGCAGGACTGCCACCCTGAAGGCCCAGGGCTGAAGGTGCCTTTGTGGCAGGTACCGATGCCGAGGAGACCATTCTAAACGCCTTCAAGATGCTGGACCCAGACGGGAAAGGGAAAATCAACAAGGAGTAGTGAGTGCCCGGCTGGGGGAGGGCGGCCGGGCCGCCGGGGGTCCCCAGCGATCTCACCCTGTCCCAAAAGGGACAATCACCCACCAGATGCCACGCCCACCTCCCTACCTCTGACCAGCTTCAGGACCATGAGGAGTGAACCCAGGATCCCAGCTAAGTGGGACACCAGCCCTGCCCACACAGGGACTAGGGGCCGGTGCCCAGGGGGCGGCTTCCCCTCAGCCCACTCCTCCATCTTCAGCTCCTGCCAGGGGCTGGCCTGTGACCTCCTTCGGGCTCTGTTCCCATCAGCAGCCCCCAGGCGAGCCCCCCAGAAGTGATGACCCCTGAGTGTGTCCTCTAAGGTCCCTCAGGCTCTGTCCCCATCAGCGGCTCCCCCAACCGTGGTGATCCCTGAGTGTGTGTTGGGAAGCGACCTGCCCCAGGGCCACACTCCTGCCGGAAGGGCGGGAGTGCAGTGAGCAGGGGCAGCCTGGGGCCCCTGGAGCACCTGAGCCCCACGAGAAGGCTCCTGCGCCCCCGCATCAGCCCGCGCTGACCCCTTTCCTCGTCCTCAGCATCAAGCGTCTGCTGATGTCCCAGGCTGACAAGATGACAGCGGATGAGGTCTGGCCCGCGGCTCCCCTGCCAAGCCCACGAGGGGAGGGCGGGGCTCCCGGGGTCAGCTGGGTGGAGGCGCTCGCGGAGCCCAAGGGGCTGCAGCGCCGCGGTTAGGACCCAGGACAGAACAGGCCCCTGGGGGGACTCCCAAAGTGCCCGTTTGAGGGACAGAACTGGCTCAGAGGGGTCAGGTCAGCGGCTGGAGACCCCTCCCCTCCGTCAGGTCAGCGGCTGGAGACCCCCTCCGCCGCCCGAGCGTCTGTCCCAGCCTGAGGGGCGGGGCTCACAGCTGTGTGG